AGACAGTCCTCAGTTCTTTCCCCCCTGATGATCAGACTTGATAGCAAGTCTGAGGCAGCCAGCACAAACTCAGGTGTGCTTTTGCCTAAAGCTGACTTAATTCGTTTGCCAAGCCTCCAGGACCTTTAGCTGATGGGAAATTAAAACTCCACCTTTTGGGGTATTGTTCTGCCTCGATGAGGACTGGGAAGGAATTCTGTGCTCACCCTTCAGTCTGCAAAATAGATATAATGACAGTACGTGCCCCAATGAGCTGAGTGTAAAAAGGCAAAATACTTTATAATAGTGACTGGCATGTAGTATTAGCTGTTATTTTATTATAATTATTCTAAAGATGCAAAGAGAAGGCACCAAACCCAGCATGGGTTATCAGGGAGGGCTCCCTGGAAGAGGTGACACCTGAGTTAATTACAAGCATGCACTGAACACCTCTGCCTGCATATGTATCAAGGTCTAGGAGTCTAATGAACTAGACCCCTAAGAAATGTGCTCATTTTAGAAAACTTATAAAACAGAAAAATATAACGATGCAACAGAAACAGCTATAATCCCATCATTCCAGTGTTCCATTCTTTCACTTTACTTTTTCTTTCTGTTTGAATTACACTAATTGATTTACTGTATATGTACTATATATAGACTGACTAGAAAAGTGTTTATTCCTAGAAAAACATTCACATATTTATAGATTAAAAAAAAGAGTTGGATGGGGGAAAACCTGAAAATATTATCAGTTATTCTCTTTGGAGGGGGGTGAAACTATGGTTAGTTTTTCCTGTGTCCTTTTTGGTGGTCTGTATATCCATTTATTTCTCTAATACCTCTATATTATTTCGTGTAGTTTGGAAATGTGTTCTTCAAATTTAATACCTAGAGCTCAGGAACCTCGGATTCAGGGCCTTATTTATAATCATAACATCCTTGGGCCGTGGAGAGTGCGGTGTCTGGATTGAACTCAGTCCTGAATCCTTAAGTGTGAGGGGCTGTGTGTGGCCATGGGTGTGATCTGAGGGTGGGCATGCAATGGGGCCAGTGGGCCCAGGCTTCCTGGGGGAGGGGGCAAAGCCAAAAACTATCATTAAGACCTGATCCCAGGGCCTCCCCTGGTGGCGCAGCGGGTTGAGCGCTGCACTGTGAAGCTGTCCGCAGCCTCTGCAGCACGGGTTTGATCCTGGCAGCCCGGCGAGGGTCCCGCATGGCGCAGCAGACCTCTCCTGACTCGACCGCTGCTCCCCTCAGCAGTGTGTTTCGTCAGTCTACCTGTTTTGCTCCCCGCTCTGCCTCTGGTGAACCCTCTTACCCTCCCGCAATTCTGGCCTGTACCCTGGTTCTTGTCTAAATAAATAAATCAATCTTAAAAAAAAAGGACCCGATCCCAGTGGCTCTATCTCCTGCCAGGAGCCCTGAGCACCAGAGAGGCTTCGCCCTGAGGTTTCGGCTGGGTCTTTCCTGTGACTCTAATGCTAACGAGGCTGTAGGGATGTTAGCTCCTCCTCCTACCACTTGGCCTGGGCTGCTTCACAGCCTGTGGGCAGGTCTCTGCGCCTCTGCACCCCATGCACCACGGCGATGCCCTCCAGCACACAGCTACCTCAGTGTGCCAACGCCCCATAGCCTGACTCCCTGGTGCCCGCAGCCCCCAATCCAAGTCCCACAGCTCGACCTCCAGTGCCCAGACCCACACCTGCACCTGCCCCATCCCGTTACCATGACTCCACTGCCGCTCTGCCTTCTGCCTCGCACCACATCCCTGTCCTCCAGGCCTTGGCCCACAGGGCTCCCTCCCCTTAGAAGGCCCTCCTGCTGCACCTCTGCCCTGAGAATTTCTACTCATCTTTCCATCTCTTATCTACACCAGGTAGCCCAAGGCTCAGCGCACCTGTTTGCCGGCCCTCCTGCCCTAGGAGCTCTTCCAGGGCTCGGCAGTGACTTATTCTTGTGGTCCTCACTGTCTAGCACCTGGGGTGGCATGGGCTTGGGCCTTTGTTTGGCAAAGAACTGTGGTCAGGGCCTGCAGACACCAAGCTCAAAAGCGGGGTGGTGTGGCCCAAACAGCTGCTGCCCATTAGGACACCAAAGAGGCCACAACTGTTTCCAGCAGTGGGCGTGGGCCCAAAGGGAGAGAGGCTCCAGCAAGCTGGCTCGAGGGTGCTCTGCTCCCCACCACCGGAGGGCTTCCTCCGGGCTGGGCTCAGGGCAGGCACTCTCTGCGGGTGAATATAAATATATAAAACAAACAGTGTGCATTTAGCTGCAAAACTAAAAATAGGAAGCCTGGAATCCGGCTCCCCCGGCTCCTCAAGCTGCTGGACCACACAGGTGTGGATGCGGATATTGGGGGGGATGTGGCTCCTCACCCCCTCCCAGCTCCCAGCCCTCATGGGGAGGAGTGGGGGGCATTCTGGGTTTCCGTGAGGAACAGTCCATTCTTTCACTCTGGCTCCCCCCATCCCCATCTGCTTGACAGCTCATTTCATTTACGATCCCAAAATGAACCGACCTACCGAGATGCAGTCCCCACTCTCGGGCCCGGGCCGGCTGGTGTCTGCTGCGGCTGAGGGCTGTGCGCTGGCCATGCTGGGGGGCGGGGCTGGGGCCGAATGGCTGTGTTTATGGGCTACAGCCTGGGGCAATTCCTCACATCAGCATCCTCTGACCCAACTCCCGCCTTGTGCGCATGCCATTAACTCGGCCCTGAAAACCCCCTAGGATGTCCGTTTCTCTGAATAAAAGCTCAGGTTATCTCTGCAGCTGGAAGCCCAGCAGTGCAGGGCTGCTCCCTAAGCCTGGAGGGGTGAGGGCAGGTTTCCCTGGAGGTTACCGCAACTTTAGGAGGTGCCTAGAACAGCCTCGGGGCCAGGATGCTACTCTGGGAGCCCCGAGGCCTGCACCAGGCCAGCTGTGGGCCGTGAGTGAACTGGTGAGACTACAGGCATTGCTAAAACTGAGGGACTCCTATCATCTTTAAAATGGAATTCCCAGTCTCAGATGCTGGAGCAAGATGGCCGCCTCTCTCTGGATCGGCTGCTTCTGGTCCTAAGCTCCAGCTGGTGGCTTGGGTGGTGGATGACCCCGGGTCCTGGCTCCAGGTGGCTGGGGTTGCTAGACTGGGATGTCAACCCTGCCTTTAAGTCAACCTTTCTTTTAAGTCGGGTAAACCCCTATTCAAAGCAGGGCTTTAGGACCTGTGATTCTACTATCCGCCTTCCACATAGCAGGTGTTCATGTCACAGATGAATTAAAAGGGAGGCGCAGAAAGGGACAGGGATCTCCGGCAGCCACGAGCTAGAGAAGGAAGGACACTTCCTGCACACCAAGACATCTCCGGGTCCTTCCAGGGATGAAACTGCGGAGGGCTGGAAGGTCTAATACCTGACCTGAATTCTGGCAGCTAAGTCTGCAAGGCACGGCGCGCTTGTCCCACCTGCTGCCACCTGCAGGCTGCTTTGGTTACTGCGCACTTAGGCCCACAGCCCTCCTGCTCTCACCCAGGCCAGCCCGGGACATCCCTGGGCGCTGTTTTCCACTTAGGAGGCTGGTGCTGGTCTGTGTGGCTCTGTGCCTGCTGAGGTGAAAGTGATGGGGCTTTGGGTCAAGAGTTCCGGAGGCCACAGTTCCTCTCCCGTCGGCTGTGGCTCCAAAATGTGGCCAGTGGGGAGACTTACACTGTGGTCCCCTCCAGTCTCTATCACTTCCTACAAAGTCACTCCAAATAAATACATATATGGAAGCAGAGTTTTGACCTGTCGATGCTGCTTCAGGATTAGCACTGCTCGCCCAGGCAGACACCACACAGAGCTGCCCACGGAGAATCTGAGGCCCCTGGGCCAGGCTGCTGCTGGGGTGAGGCCAGGGACTGGGGTCTAAACGTGACTATGAGCCTTCACTGCTTGTTGGTTGTTGGGTTTAGGCAGACCAAGCCAAGTGAACAGGGCACAGATGTAGCAGCAGGTTTTGAAATATTTTCACTTGAAAATAAGGTCTATTTTATGAAAATCCGCCCCCCCACCCCCGTCCAGACCTCCCTGCTGGCAGGATGGGGGTAGGGTGAGAAGGCAAGACTATCATCACACCCCAGCTCCCATCATCAGCCACAAACAACTCCAGAGAGATGTGGAGCCAGATGACACCCCCTCTTTGCACCTCGGTGGCCTCATCTGCAAAACGAGGGAGCTGATGTAGCTGCTTGCTTTGTAGTTCTGACTGCTGCGAGCTTGCCACTGTTCCAGCAAACATGGGCCTCCTCTCACCCAGGCTGCTTTATGCTCCCCACTCCCCCCCAACTCTGAGGCTGGGGACCAAGCTGGAAGAGGGGCGCTACTTCTATTTGCTTGTGAAAAAACCAGGGCTGCATGTGTGGGCACTTGAAGACTTGACATCCCTCTGGGTTTCCAGCCCCCCAACCCCTCTGCCCAGGCTAATCTCTGTGGCAGGTGCTGATGGAGGTGGACACAGAGAAGTCAAGGCACTGGTGGGGGCAGAGGGTCTCCAAAACATTGGGTTTTGTCCTTCCCTTGCCCCCAGGCCCTGCCTCAGGGACAGTGGGAGTGCTGTCCTCGCCCACCCCATGCACACAGCCCAGAAGCCTGGCATTGGGATCCTTCAACATCTCAGTTATATTATTGTAACAAATCAGTCAAAATTCCATCTTACAGTTAAATAGTACAGAAGACAGACAGTTTACTGTACAAGCAAGTTGTGCATTAAAAACAAACACACCAAGCAAATTATAGTGCAAAGCAATTTCCACCCCTCCCCACCCTCTTCCCAGTTCTGGGATGGAAGAGCCGAGTGTAGCAGTGCCATGGACACCGTGGCATGACAATATGTCACAAAGGCTCTGCACCCACCACCAACAGGCTTAGAGGGAGACCAGAGCCTCTCTGCTTCCTTGTGCTTTCTAAGTCAGGGTGCTTGCCCGGTACAGCTTCACAGCAGCCTTGTAAGGAAGGACCCGTCTCCCAGGCCAGCCGTCCGCACCGGCCATGGGCCTTCAGACAGAGCAGGCTGCTATCACTTTTAGTCAGGGGTGGAAGGAGGGAGGGTGGCTTATTCCTGCCCCTGGCCCCACCAGGGCCTGGATGTCAGGAAGGGGTAGTAATCTGGGGTGGGGCTACAAAGTGCTGGGCACTGGGAACCCAAGGGTGGCCCCATGCGGGCCTGGGGCCAGTTTGCAACCACAGAGAAGGGGAGCAAAGAAGGCAGCGGGGCAATGGGTAGTAGCCGCTTCCTGAGAAGGGGTGGAGAGCTTCCTGGGTGAAGGGAGCCAGCAGGACACCCCCGGCAGCTATATGGAAGAGATGGAGACTGCTTTTTCCAGTGAGGGCCAGACAAGAGAAACTGCAGCAAGAGGGGTTCGAGTAAGACCATCAGAATGACTTCCTAGCCTGCCAGAGTGCACAAAGGTGTGCACTTCGCCCTTGTTCCAGGTTGGGGAGGGGGTGCAGCAGGGCAGGTGCAATTACAGGGGCAACCACTGGGACCTTGGGGGGGGGCAGCTTCCACATCCACAGAGGACCCATCTGAAACAATTCTGAAAACGACGTGCTGTCTAGCTCTCATGAGAGCTTTCTTGTCCTTTTCCACGTAAGCCTTTCTGGAACTAAAGAACTCAGACCAGAGAATTCATGCAGCCTGAACCCTCGACAAGGCCTGCTTTTCCCCCTGCAAAGGGCACCCCCTGCAAGGGGCACCCTGCACCTCAGAGCCTGGGGCGGGAGGGGGGCGGGCAGAACTGACCACTGAGGCCTCGTCACTCCACCACCCACACCTGCCTCTCCTGGGGCACCAGCCCTGCCACATGTGTGATGTGCTGGCACTGCCTGTGGTGCCCAGCAGGGTCAGCCGGTGCTGGAAGTTGGCTGGACGCTGCTGAAGGGACGCAGCCCTAGAGGCGGCACCGAGAGCCTTGCCGGATAGGGGAAGGGTCTTGTTCATGACAAAGGGCTTTACCTGTCAGAGGTCATGTGTTTGAACATGTTTGACTGAAGCTTCTTTTCCTCAGATCAGCTTTAAAACTGAATTCTGTCAAGGCTGCGCTGGAGCACAGACTGGCGTGAGACGGGAGCACTGGCACTCCTGCTGCTGCTGGGACCTAGCTGGTCCCATGCTCTCCAACAATGGCGAGTGTGAGACCAGCCTCGGAGAAGGGGGATCCCCAGTCCCCCACTAAGAGATCAGAGGGTGAATGCCTTGGGCTGGTAAAGTGCATGGAGAACCCACCTGCAGGCCTCCCCCCTGCTTGGAGGTGCCTGATGCCGCAGGCTGCTCTACTCTGAGGCCTGGGGCCCACGACCACTGGGACGGGACGGGCTTCTGAGCTGTCAGGATTTGGGGGGAAGCAGATCTGGGAATACTGGCAGAGGGGGGGAGGGTTGTGTTTTCACCCCATCTCTGCCACTGACTCCCTGGGTCCTCTGGATGGGCCCATCCCATCGTCAAAATGAATGAAGGGAACCCCTCTTGAGGGCGGGGACCTTCCAGTTCTGACTCAATTTGTGTAAATGCAGAGGGAGGGTTGGGTCCAGGGGGTGCAGGGTCTCTGAGGAAGGTGGAGGGTGAGAGAGTCTCCCCAGGGCCCCTGGCCGCTCTCCCTGGAGCAGAGATGACCAATCAGGTCATTCCAGGGGAGGGGAGAGGAAGAGGAACATTCCTCAGGAACGTGGGATGAGATGACTAGGATGTGGCTGGGCCTGGTGTCCTGGGGGAGGTCCTGGCCCCTCTGTAAAAAGACATGGCCGGGGCGCTGGATGCTTCAGAGCCGCCCACAGCTCAGGGTACCCCTGCCCTGGGCCCATGGTCGCCCGAAGCCTAAGTCCCATTCCTGCCCTGAGCCTCAGAGCAGGGCCAGCCACTTGTTGGGAAAGTCCTTGGGGTCCCTGCCGCCGCCGGGGGCCATCCGCTTCCACCCGGCAGTCAGTAGGGCCGCCACACGGCCTCGTCCATGCGGCCCGGCGTGCTCAGCGCGGTAGGCGAGTTGCTGTGGCTGCCGTCAGCCTCCACGCCGTCGCTCTGGCCACCCAGGCTGGGGTTCATGAGGTTGCCGGCGGCCACGGAGGCGGCGCTGCTGGTGCAGGAGGCCAGCATGCGGGTGGGGGAGCGGTCGCCCCCGCTGCTGCTGCCCGCCACCATGGAGAACTGATAGGAGCCGGAGGACGCGCCGTAGTAGAGGTGGTAGGGGGACGGGTTGGCCTGGAAGGGCCCGCTCTGGTTCTGCGGGGCCCCGGGGTAGGGGGGCGGGAGGTAGGTGTGGTGGAAGCGGCTGGTGGCCGGCATGCTGAGGCTGCTGATGCTCGTGCCCGAGGGCGTGGCGCTGTAGGGGAAGGCGGCCGACATGGCACCCGGGTAATGCATCCTGGGGTCTGGGAAGCGGCTCTCTGTGAGGGTTGGCAGTGCCGGGAAGGAGCGGTCAAACTGGCGGGGGTCGGAGAAAGGGTTCAGGTCCGAGGTGCCTGTGGGACAGCAAAGAGCATGGTCAGTTGCAGCCTGACGCCACCCTGGGGGTCTTTCTCCACGGACGACATCTGAGGGCTGGTTGACCAGGCCTGTTTGGGGACCCCTGATTCTAGAGCTGGCTCTGCGGGCTCTGCCAAGGGCTGCTCGGAAGCTGGAGCCAGCTTGACTCAGAACAGGAGCCCACCTGGGGGCAGGTGGCTCAGGTGCCTGGGCCAGAAGGGGCCGTGCGGCCTTCCCACCTGGGAGAGCAGGGGGAGGAGGAGGAAGATTTTCTTCCTCCTTGTGGAATCTTCTTCACACCTAGCAGAGCACAGGCCTGTTGAAATGGTGAAGGTAGGACCCCAGTTGGACTGTTGGGAATGGGGAACACTGAGCAAAGACAGGTCAGGCCTCCCAGCAGGCCTGGCCCAGCAGTTTCTACCTCTCTCGGCTCGTGGTTAAGAGCTGGCAAGACAACACAGGGGTGGATTAATGAGATGTGGTATATCTGCACGATGGAATACTACTAAGCCATAAAAAAGATGAGCTCTTGCCATTTGCCACAACATGGGTGGAACTAGAGGTGATGAGGGAGGGGATGATGCGAAGCCAAAGTCAGAAGGAGGAAGACAAAGATGGGATTTCACGCGTATGTGGAATACAGAGAAACAAAACAAAGGAACTGGCAAACCTAAACCAAAACAAACCCTAGAGAGATGACTGCAGAACTGAGGCTGCTAGAGGGGAAGAGAGGGTGGGATGGGGGCCAACGGGAGGTGACCCAATGGTCTGGGCTAAAGGACCATGGGTGCTCTGGTGACATGCACAGGACGAGGTATGGGCCTGTACCTTAAATCATGTAGTGCTGTAAAGCAATGTTTCCTCAATAAAACAAAAGAGTTACAAGACTGGGGGTGTGAAGAGGGTCTCCAGTGACTCAGTGAGATTGGGGATTGGACCTTGCTTTTTCAGATAAGGAAACTGAGGCAGAGAGAGAAAGCTCATGATGCTGTATAGAAAGGACTGGAACTAATCACGAGGTCTCTCGGGGGCCCTCTCCTGGCCAGGTAGAGCTCAGCTGGGTTATAGGAACTTGTGTTTGTGTTGTGGGGGCAGCTCTGTCTGACTCCCCATGCCTGGCCTGTATCTCCTGTGCTCCCCACAGGCTGGAGCTGACCGGTGGCCAATGATGAGAAGCACTCCCGCCTGCCTCAGGAGCAGAGCTACTAGGGCTTAGTGGTCCAGACCCTGCCTGTCACCTTGTCACGGAGAGACCCAGTGTCCAGCGCAGGCCAGGCCCCGGCCCCCCTGGAGCATGACTTCTCACTAGGCTCCAAGGCAAGAGCTTCCCAATCTCTGCCTCAGCCCCGGGATCACAGACCCCCCGAAACCTCAGCATTCAGAGTCTTCAGGACCTAGTCTAACCCCCTTTAGGAGGAAAGTTGAGGCCCAGCAAAGGTGCAGCACCTATCTAAGGGTCACACAGCACACTGACCTGGCACAAAGCCCCTGGGCCTCTGGTCCTGAGCCCCACACATGCCTGACAGGCAGCTGTCCCACTTTGAGGGCTCCCAGAATGGAGGCTAACTGTGTGGTCTCTGCAACTGGATACTTATCCTGGTCCCGCCACTTACTACCTGTGTGTCCCTGGGCTAGTCATGTAACCCTCTCTGTGCATCTGCCTTCCCATAAGAACAATGGAGACAATAACAGCTCCTGGGGTTTCATTAGCTGATACATGGGACAGCACTTCGAGGGAGCACAGAGGCTGGTGGGGCCTGCGCTGCTGTGGTGGCCGTGACACCTGGGCAGCTGGAGCAAGGCCTGTTCAGGGCCCTCCTTATACCCTCCCAAAGGGGTGACCCTGGGCAGTGCTGGGGGGGTGGGTGGGCAGCCCCAGCAGCAGTCCTGAGGTAAAGTTAGTCTGGCTCGAACCCCAGGACACACAGGGCTGGGAGAGACCTCAGGAGATCTGCCTCTGGCCCCAGTGCCCCAGATGGGCACTGTCTGCAGTGGCTGAGGACTCACTGAGGATGGAGAGCGGTGGGTGCCCTCAGGCCTCTGATTTCCCCAGATCTGCTGGAGGTGGCATGTGGCCTCAGGTCAGACATCACTTGTGTGGGCTTCCAGGTCTTCCTGACGCAGCTGGGGGTGTTTTCTTAGCATCAGGCTCTGAGCCAGAATAGAATGATGCTTTGGGGCTCAAGGTGGGGAGATGTGGGTGAGGGTCCGGTGCCTGGGGCCTTCTGGAACACATTGGTCCCTCCCTATAAGGTCAGAGGGGCTTGGCCTGCATCTCAGAGCCCCCGGGGAGAAGGCCTTGTCGGCAGTACCTGGCACCCCAAGTACAGTGGGCATGAGGTAGACACCTCCTCTCTGGGCCCTGAAAGTGAGTGCTGCCTACCTGACAGGAACGCCATTGGCAAAACAAAGGAAACCCAGACAGGGCCCCAGGATTCGAGGGCAGGAGGCACAGCACCACAGCTGGTGGGCTTAGGTGGGTAGGCAGGCTCACCTGGAATGCGGGCTCTGAGCTGACCTGCCCAGGCCTGCCGTTGACCCCTGGGACCTCCTGCTCGGGTCCCCCACTCCTCCTCCAGGGTGGCGGGGAAGTGACTGCCCTCCTGTCCCCTGCACCCCCAGCCCAGTAGCCCTGGGAAACCCGAGCCCGCTGGATTGCTGTCGAGCAGCCAATCCCAACACTGGAAGGAAATGTTTATTTTCTTCTCCAAATTGCCCCAGCTGCTGCGTGGCTGAATGAGCCCTTTGAGCGGTGAGAAGCCCCCATTGTGGGCGGCCACAGCCTGGGGGCCGGGGCCCGGGCATGGAGGCTTTGGGGCCTCCGTACTGCTTGCCAGTGACCAAAGCTGGGGGGTCATAGCTATTAACAGGCACCAAGAGGTGGTGGGGTGTCTTAAGGGGGATGTCCAGGATGGAGTCTGAGGGCAGAGGCTTCTCCCACCAGTGAGAAGATCCCTAAACCTGGTTCTGCCAACACCACTCTGGAGCAGGTATTCCCTTCTTCCCACTTTACAGATGAGAAAACTGAGGCTCAGGGAGGTAAAGTAACTTGTCCAGGGCCACACAGCCAGTGCCTGGCAGCCACAACTCCTAGCCAGGTCCATCTGGCTGCAAAGTTCATGCTCCTTCCCTGGCCCTGGTTGTCAAGAGCCCTTCTTCTTGCTCCAAAGGGGACAGGCCAGGGGAGAGGAAGGCCTGGCTGGAGCAGAGGGTGACACAGGCTACTGAGGCCTGGTGCAGTGGATGTTAGGGGTGCTGGGGGCGCCCACTCAGGATGTGGCAGAAGGGGCAGGACTGAATCAGCCATGCCCCACAGGTCCTCTCTTCTCCTCCCAGTCCAGAGTGGAAGCAGGGATCTGGCTGCTACTGAGACAGCCGGGCCCTGTGGAGCTGGCTGAGGGCTGGGAGACCTGCCTCAGGCTCCTCTGTGCACGGGTCCCCAAGCCACAGGGGGGCTCTCCTTCCAAAGGAGCTGCTGGACAGGCAGCCACTATTCTCGCTGTCAGCTGGGTCCTGGGGTTCCATGGCTGGGCCCTCATATCCCACTGGTTCCCATGCAGGGCCGGGTCTGGAGTGAGAGGCTACTGTACCTTGACAAATGCCACCCATGGGGCTGGGCAGCTTTGGGGCAGGCAGGCATGAGCCCAGAGGGCAGACACTCCCGAAGCACCTTAAGGTCAGACCACCCCAGGCTCAAGAGCTGCCGGGGGTCCCAAATTCGCTAGCCCTTGGGCTCTGAGAGGCTGAGCCTGGGCCTCTCCACCCCAGGGGTCTCAGCAGGACCAAAGTCCAGCTCCCTGAGCCCAGGCTAGAAAGGGAGGGACTTCTCTCCATGCCCAGGGGCTACACCAAGCGTGTGTGGCCAGGGCAGAGACCCAGCAGGCCCAGATAGCTGGGGCATGGAGAAGGGAGGGGAGCAGGCGAGAATTGGTTTGCACCTCGTTGCCCTCAAAAGTACAGGTTGATGCTGGGGGCAGGTGCTCTGGAGACTGGGACCTGGTCACTGGTGGGCTCAGTATACTCTCTGCAAATGGGCTCTAACCAGGCCCCGGAGGACCACCGGCAAGGCAGCAGCCAGCCCTCCTGCCTCTGCCCAGTTCTGCTGACATGTGCTCTCTGCCCCCTGCTGAGGAACCCCCCAGCAGGCACCCCACCCATCAGGGGAGAGAGCCTGGAAAACATATTCACCATCCAGCCACCTACGGAGCACCTGCCCTATGCCAGGCCTCTGTGTACCGGGAAGGCACCTCAATTGTGCCTGCTCTTTCCATCTTGCGATGGGGACAAGCATGGGCCCCAGCCCGAGACCGTCCTCCTCAGAGGCCTGTTGGAAGGCGTCTGGGGCAGGTGGGAGACCTTTCCCAGGTGACGCTGCGGGTCTCTCCTCCAGGGCCACAACATCTATTTCAGTTTACGAAGTTGGTTTGAGGGCAGCAATAGCATGTGAATGTCACCCCAGCCCTGGACAGAGGCATCCACCAGCTCCCCCACTTTCAGATGAGAAAGCTGGGGCTGGTGGGGCAGTGTCCTCAGTAGGTCATTTCTCTTGCCCACAGGCTCCCTGAGCCAGTCATGCCCAGGGTTGATGATGCTTTCCCGGGTTAATGCCCATGTGCCCTGGAGACAGGGAGCTCAGGGCGGGGGCTGTGTCTGTCCTTCATGCTGACCCTGAGCCCAGCACAGCGATGGCTCGAGGTGGGTGTCAATGATTGCTGAGTGAATGAATGAAGGGCTCGGTCCAGGACTGGGCACACAGTAGGGCCTCAGGAAGCATCTGCAGGGTTTGGTGAGCACCAGCGGCCTCCTTTATAAACAGGCAGATGGACAACGCCCAGGACCCGTCCGCCTCCCCCCTGGCGCCCCCGCTGTGCCCTACCTTGGATGGGGGTCTGGGCCTGGCTGCTGAAGTGGCTTGTGGTGCTGAGCGAGCCTCGGGGGCTGGGTGTGCTGGGTGTCACCCGCATGCGCAGCCGTTCCAGCTCCCCGAAGCGGTCAGGAAATGCCTTCTGGTCCTCCAGCTTCTGCCGGTGCCCTGCAGAGCAAGGGGAGCCTATCAGCAGCTGGTTCTGGGGTGGGGTGGAGGCATGTCCCTGTTCCTACTTGCCACCTTCATGGGGCTGCAGTTCACGCCAGCATGCCAGGTGTTTCCAAAGTCCCTCAACTACTCCCTGCCAGGCAAGGCCCCGGCTATCCCTGTTCACCCCCGTGCGTCTGGGGTTTCTGCAGGACAGATGCTAGGAATAGAGGTTCAGTCGAAGGGCCCGGCATTCCTGGGTTCCAGAGCTCAGCCTGACACCTAGGCTGGCCTATTTTGTCCTGCACGAGGCATGAAGGAGGGGCTGGCAGGCAGTATGGCCAGGCTCTCTTTCTACAGCCACGAGAACTGCAGCCCAGAGAGGTGAAGAGGCTGTCCAAGGTCACACGGCCAGGGAGGGGAGAGGATTTCCTGGACCTGGGACCCCTTGGAAAAGAAGTGTGGGGAAGGGGCTCAGAGAGAGGAGGTCTTGCCTGAGTCTGCAGTGACATGGAATTGTCTAGATTGACAGGAAAAGAAGAAGAAATGGGTGGGAGGTACCATAGAGTCTTCAGGTCATTCCCCAGGCCTGGGAAATGCCTCCTGGGAGCCTGGAAGGTGTGAGATGATCGCTGAGTACTGGTGGGCATGAGGACAGTCAGAGGCCTTTTCAAAACGGGAGAGCAATGGATTCTGGTATCCATAGGCCCCCAGGCTCCCTACACACATGTCTCAGAGCCTCAGTGGGTATCTGGGGATGGGGAGTCCATGTAGGAGCCACAGCAGGCTCAGAAGGCCATTGGGAACCAGAGAACCCCACTTTGTCCTCCAAAGAGGCCACAGGCTCGGGTCCCAGGCTGCAGCCTCTCAGGACCTTGGCAACAAAAGGGGAAAGGAGTTGGGGAGTTTGGCTGGCGCTGAGGCTGCAAACTCAGATGCCTTTGGGGACTGGACAAATCTGTAACCAAGGCAAGTGGGGTGGGGGCAGGAAGGAGAGGGGGTGCCTCATAGAAGGGCCAGCTGCTATCCGTCCAGCTGACTGGTGCCATGATGGGGGTGACCAGTGTTGCCAGAGCTTCCAATTTACCAGGAGCTTCCAATTTACACATCACGTCTGCCCAAATCTTATGTATTGGCAATTAATTCAAACACTGAAAACAAACAAACAACTGCTCTGAGGGATGTGTCCTACCAGCCAAGGCCGAGATTTCATTATCCAGCCACCAAGGACTGGAGAACAGATGCCCCTCGGGAGGCACCCCCAGGGGTGCCCCCCAGGGCTCAGACACCAGCCTGCACAAGCCTTGGATGAGGGGCTGCTACCCCAGCTACTGAGGTGGAATGGGCAGGGGCCGGTGAGGTCAGGACAGTCTCATCAGGCAGGCAGGCAGCCGGATGGACGTGTAGGCTGACTTGGGAGCAGCCTGGTGCAAAGGATCTGGGTGTCGCAGTCAACCACGAGCTTGGAGAGAGCTGACGGGGTCACACAAAAGCCAGCGCTAACCTCAGGCCTGTCGCTATCATCACTGGCGAGTGAAGTCTCATTTCTGAGTCACACCGTTTACAAAGTGTTCACAGTTACTCCCGAGGCACAGCGGAAGGAGGGCGGGTTCACAGTCAGCCTGGGTTCAAGGAGGGCCCTGCTGCTTGCAGCCCCGGGGGCCTCCTCCACCAACCCCCACCCCCCAGCTGCAGCGTCCCAGCCAAGGCACCGGCTCACAGGCTACATGCTAGCTGAACAAGTTCTGCACCGTGTGGGTGACCCATCCGAGGGATGGGGCAGGGAGTCCTGGAGCCACAGCCTCTCAGCAAGGCGGCAGGGAGGAGGGACTGTGTCCCCCAGGTTCAGGACCAGGCTGCTACATACGCTGTGTCTGGGCCAGAGTGGGGCGAGCGCAGGGCAGACCCCGACTCCAGTCCAGCCCTCTTCCTCGTGACACTGTCTTTTTCTGCTCTGACTGTACAGATGGGGCCACGGAGGCTTCAAGGTGAGACTATGCTAAGCAGCTGGTGTGAGGCCCAGGGTCTGAACCGCTCACAGGTCCACCACACTGTGCCCTGTTCACGGGGCTGCTGTCCTGGAGGAGGGGGGCCCTAACAGCGCTGGGAGCTGCTCCTTTGTTACCGGGGAAGCTGGAGCCAGTGCCAGGGAGGGGCGACTGGAAGCTCGGCACCTCCACGTGGCCAGGGCGCCAGAGAGTCTCGGAGCCACGGGGCCAGGGCCTTTGCACTGCGGGCAGGACGGAACTTCCTGTGCCCGAGGAAAGGAGATGGCCTGTGGAAAAGACCTCTTTCTTTCGGCCGCCCACAGCGGGAGCTGGGTAGGAGCTCTGGGCTAGCTCACTTGGTCACCTGAGGCCCAGCTCTTTCATGCTCCATGCCTCAGTTTCCCCTGTGTACAGCCTGCTCACAGAGGCCGTTCTAGCTCTGGGAGTCCCTGACATGGGGGTAAGGACCAGTCACTGGTCCAACTGGGGACCCCGAAGGAGAGGACAGGATTCTTGCTCCATGGCCCACCTGTCACCTCCAGTCGCTGCTGCTCCCAGTATTTCTTGAATATTCTCTGCCTCCCACGCTTCAGAGCCTCAGTGTAGGCACAGCCCCCGCCAAGAGTGTTTTCTTGTCCTTTTGGCCTCAGCCCTTAGCCTCGCCTCCAAGAAGACCTCATCGTTGTTGTCACTCCCCGCCCTCCCCACACATCACCTCTGCAGGCTAAGAGGGTCCTGAGAACAGTGGGAGGTATCACCCCGAGGGAGGCCTGCACTGTTCCTATTGCACAGATGAGAAAACCAAGGCTCAGTGACAGTCAGTGACACACTCAGGGCCTCACAGAAGGCACCTGGTCACTTTCTCTTCCTGCAGCCCATCCTTCAGGAGAGGAGCCTGGGTTTTGAAAATTGGGGGTTCCAGACGATGGGTGCTAGGGCCCAGCCCAGGCCTGGGGCAGAGCTGCCCTCTGCATGTCCAGAGGACAGGCTGGAGGAGGGGCGGCTGAGCGGTCTCAGTGGACCCCATCAGGGGCTCTGCACTGCTCTGAGGCTGAATCCAGCTCCCTAATCACACCCTGCTGTGACCCTCCAAGTCCATCTCCTTCTCCCGGCCGCAGTTTCCACGTTTGAATTATAGCTGATCCCCGAGGGTGAGGATGAGCTGAAGGGCAGGTCACAAGTGCTCCAAAGTGGAGCACAGAACGTGCTGTCTAGCCACACGCTTGGCCTTGGCCAGCCTCTAGAACAGGACCTGCCTGGGCTGCCCGACAGCCTCCAACAGCGGGATTCACATCACACACAGCCCCTCTGTGTCACCTTGACTACTGCCCCGACCCTCCTTTACCTTCCTTTGTGTCTGCCCAGCCCGCCCCTGCAGGGCCCAGGGGCCCAGGCCTGCCCAGACAGTGCAGGTGGTGCTCTGGGCAAGCCACCTTCTTCCTCTGGGCCTCAGCGGTCTCATCTGTAAAATGAAGAGCACAGCCCGGGACTCCCAGGGTGAGGACAGGCCGTGAGAACGAAACAGGGCCCTTGAGGGAGACGTTCTGGGCTGCCCACTGCTCCTCAACACCTCCGTGCAGCGGGCTGCCCCAGCACATAGGTCTGGCGGTCACGTGGGGAAGAGCGCCGGGGCCCGGCCAGGCTCACACACGTGGGAACAGAGGATAGAGCTAGATTACAGGCTGGGGGTCCCTTACCACTATCCCCAGGACATCCCTCAGCACAACATGCCAGGAGGGGGTCTCCGCACCTGCCAGGTACCGAGTACTGCTGGGGGAACCAGAGGGTCCTCAGGCCATCCCTCTGCCTTCACCCCAGCCAACACGAGTCCCTGAGATGAGAGAGGCAACTGCTTCAGCAGGCGTCGAGGCTGTGCCCGCAGGCTCTGTGCCAGCTGGGCCACCGATATATTCTCTGAGGGGCTGCTACCATCACCCCATTTTACAGATGGAAAGCGGAGGCATGAGGCCTGGTACTGTCAGCATGACCGGCAGCTTAGCTGCTAAGCCCTCCAGGAGAGGAGGGGGTCGCCTGGGCATGAGGCCCAGCTGGCAGAGCCCAGCTCAGAGTCCTGCCTCAGCTGGCCGGGAGGGGGCAGGAAGCCAATGGGACCAGAGAGTGGGGAGCAGCAGAGCTGGGCGGGGCCGCAGGGACAGCATCCAGAGAACAATGTGGGCCCCAAATATGGGCTTCTTCACCCATCTGAAGCCACTGGCCCGCCTCGGCTGCCCGGCCCGGCCCTGGTGCGGCCACAGCCCAGACACAGCAGCCACTGTCTGCCCAGCCGTGGGGTGGGGCACCCGGGCCCAAGGCCTGCTCTGCGGCCTGTCAGGAGATTTACACCCGACTCTTAACAACCGCGCGCGGAATCACAGGCGGGTGCAGGGCCCGGGGTGGTCTGCCGTGAATCGGCCCCCTGTGAGCAGATGAAAGCTGGTCGGTGGCTGGGCAGGGAAACAGGCTGGCGGGGGGCCAGCGGACAGGGAGGCAAACAGCTCCCTCCCAGGGCTGCAATTGGGGTTTCCAGTGGCCTGGGGTTGATTAGGGGAACCGGGAGGTCTGAGGTTAACCCCTTCCCTCCTGCTGGGAAGACTTCCCTGGGGATCGTAGGGGACCTGGGAGCTGGGCACAGGAGCAGGAGCCTCCGCTCAGCCCCACTGCCCCTCGACCTCGCTTGACCTGGAGCTAAGGAAGAAACCTTCAAAGACCCAGCACCCACTAAGGCTCTGTCTGTGTCCTGGGGTCCATATCAGGGCCCACAAAGCAGAGGCAAGAATCTGCCCCACGGCACGTCTACAATAGTGGGGCATGACGTACTGAATGGCATAAACCACATCTTAGAAGGTGATAAGGCTCAGGGTAAAATGAAAACCAGGAAGGATTGGGGGGCGGGTTTTCTGTGTGATCTGCTGGGGTGCTCGGGAACGGGAGCACGGAGAAGTCTGAGGAAAGACTTCAGGGTGGGAAGGGGCAAGCCACAAATCTGGGGGTGCTGCGGAAGGAGTGTCCTAGGTGGGGGCAAAAGGGGTGCAAAATGCAAAGGCCCTGAGGCAGGAATGTGGTTGGCATATTTAAAGAGCAGAGTGGGGTGAGGGAGGAGGGTGAGGGAGAGGAAGCAGGGGGGCAGTGGGCACCGATCTGTGGGGTGGTGAGAGCCACAGCAGCAAGAGACCCAGGGGGCCACAGCCCACCTGCAGATTTCACTATGGGGTGTCCAGCCTCTAGAACAGGACCTGCCTGGCACATGGGAGAGGCCCAGGACAGTTATTTGTTGAAATTCCATGTACATTCAGGAAGAAAGGGCCCACAGTTCACCCACTCTGCCTCAGGCGGGGTTACGAACCTGGGTCCTGCCCTTTCAGGTACCAGCAAGTGTTGAAACTGGGAGAGGTTGTTAGTGGATCCCTGATCTTGGTCCCTGCTAGAGTGGCCAGGCCTTGCATCACCTCTGCCCATGCCCTGGATTGCACCAGCCACCTGCTTTTCAACCAGCCCCCAGTGACTGTGAGGGACACCAGCCCTAGAACCTCAAAACCGAGGCCACACAGGCAGGAAGCCACCAAGCCAGCCTCCAAACCCAGCCGGCCACCTGGCTGCAGCTCGGGCACACTCTGAAAAGCACTGGAGGGGAACGACCCGGCCACAGAACCCACAGGCGGGCCTTGGGGAGCCGAAGCCCCCACTCCCTGGCCCGCACTCCCACCCCAGCCCACAGGAAGCTCAGCCCTCCAGGAGGTGGTGGGCCTGACGGCAGGAGGAAAGCTGGGAAGGGAACACTCTGCTGACCCATGGGCATGTCCTGAGGGCAGGGCAGCTGCAAACTCCTAATCCGCATGACACCCCCAGGCGCAGATGCTAACAATACCACACCATCCCCACTTTACACAAGAGCCCATGAGGTGGGAAGGCCCCCTGAGCCCCAGCCTGGAGCCTACAACTTCATCCGTGGGCAGGCGGCTTGGCTTCCTGGCCCGTACCCCGCTGCCCCCTCCCCGCCCCATTCCCGGGGCAGCTGAGGCTCAGCTTGTGGAAAGTCTCAGGTAGAGAGCCCGAGGCCCAGATAGGGGAGGATTTGTCAAGGTCATGGCTGAAGGCCAGGGTGCTGGGAGACCTGCACCAAGCACCAGGTGGGCAGGAGCAAGCAGGCCTCGGTGGCAGCCCGAGAGATGTCCCTCCACCTCTGCTCTCTTGTACAGATGAGCTTCTGCTAAGATTTTGCTAGAACAGTTGCCCTAAAACCACTGACTTCACCTATGCCAAGGCCCAGAGGGGGATGCCGCCTGCCTCATCCACACAGCAAGCCTGGCTCTCCCTGCGATTTACCTCCTGGTCCAGCTTCTTTCCCTTCTCTCGCTGCCTCCTCTCAGCCCCAGCTGCCTAATCCTGTGTCATCCCTTCTCCCAACAGCTTACCCTGAGAAAGGGCGATCTCAGGTCTGGAGGACTCCAAGAAGGGCAGGAAGGACTCCTGGGACCAGGGGCTTCCGAGGGCAGGGCTGAGCCTCCTGCCTCTTCCAGGGGCTGCCGTGGGGCAGAGTGGGCAGCTGGCTCTGGGTCGGGCAGGGCTGAACATGGAGGGCTCTAAGGGCTCTAAGGGATCCAGGCGCCGCCCTTGGGATCTTCCCACTGGGCTCTGAGGCCCATGCTCACAGGCACTGCTGCCTCTGCTCCTTGGCATGGCCCTAAGGGCCACACCGTCATGCTGAGCCCAGCTGTGGCTCCTGTCCATTCCATGCTGTGCCTGGAGACGATCACCTCCTTCAATGGGACCTTATACCTCTGTGACCACGGCTGGGGCTCTCAGCAGGCACCGTGCTGCTGACCAAAAGCGTTCACCCTCCACCATCTAATGGTGGCGGTGGTGGGAGGCAAGAGAGTTCCGGGTGCCAAGATGACAGAACACCATGGCTCCAACCACACAAGTCACTGATCCTCGTGTCTACAAGGAGGGTGGTATTTCCCCCCTTCCTGGAGGGAGGAGTTGGGGCCAGACACCTCGGTGACTTGCCCAAGGGCCCCCGGCCAGGCAAGCTCGCTCAGCATCTGCTCTCCACACCACAGTGGCCTGTGGCTTACTAGGGCTTCCCAACCATCACCACTGACTGGGCTGACAGATGACAACGCTGAGGCCAAAAGCTAGCCCAGGGCCCCAAAGCCTAGCTCACGGACGACCCTTGCAGGAATGTGGCCAAAGTAGGTCCCGGCTGGGAGCTGCATGCCCAGTGGGGTGAGGAGCTCAGGAGAGGCCAGGCTCCCAGAGCCTGGCCAAACTTTAGAGGCTCTGTCCAGGCTGCCCCTAAACCAGGATTTCTTCTCACCAGAACTGAGGTCACTCTGTGTCTCGTAAGACAATAATGTGAAAACATTTTCTAGACTTCAAAGGGTCACGGTTGCAAAGAAAGAGGACAGGGCAGCTCTCAATACATGCAGCCCAAGCCTGCCACGAAAGGGGCCAGTGCAGACAAGAGTGGCCAGTCCAGAGACAGCCAGGGGTTCTTTGTTCACTCACTCACTCACTCACTCATTCAGTGGACACAGAATTCTGTGGCAGCTGTCCCTCCAGTTTCCCAAATCTTAACCTGCAAGCTCAGTCTTCCAGCAGGCACAAGCAATTAAATACAGACATTCCTTTTCATGCTAAAATGCAGGCGTGAGGGCTCCCTGCACATAGTAGGCACTCAAGAAATACTGGCAGAATCAAATTTGCATTCCCGATCTGAAGAGTGGGGGGGGGGGTCCCCGCATTAGAGGGCCTGAGCCGGTGTGACTTGAGCAAGTCATGTACTGAGAGTCAGAGAGAGTTTCAAGGCGGGGTACCTGGCCTCCCAGTCAGACCAGCTCCCGCTTCGCTGGCTCCCATTGGCAGGAGAGGTGGAGCAGAGAGGAGCCAAGCTGGGCCAGCCTCTGTCCCCAAACACACGTACATACTCCACTAACGCCCAGTCTGAAAGCTTTCTGTCCTCTTCCTTAGCAGATGCAGATCCCAAGGGGCCACCCGCCGGGAGGGGATGAGTCCCAGCCTCCTTACTAGCCTCCAGCTGGCTCAGGCTAAGTCCAGAGGGCTGAGGCCTTTGCTGGCCAATGCACAGTATGGGGGTGTAGAGTGGATGTCTGAAAAATCCCATGGGATTGGTGCTCTTGGGATGCAGCAGGCCCTGGCTGCTGTCCGTCCCCCACTGGACCCTCCTCCCAACCCAGGGGCCTCGGCGGGTGGTGCTGGCACTTACGTCTGGGCTCCCGGGGTCCATCCACGGTCACCTTGATGGCTCGGTGGTAGGTGGCCACTTGGGTAGGGTTGGTGAACACGGTGATAGTCAGTGTGAAACTCTTACCTGGGGGATAGGGAATAAAGGCAGGAGGTTGGCACCTGGAGCTCTTCACAAAACCCTGATATCCCCACCCTGATGACCCCAACACTCCAGAAGGGGCTCGTTTCTCTCCTTTGAACCTGGGCAAACAGAGGGGCTCTGGGTGAATCAAGCTGCAGGCTCCAGTTCGCTGGCCTTCCCTGCCCTGTGTCCCGGCCGCCTAGCTCACGTCCCGCTGCTTCCCTGTGTCTAGCTGTTCCTCTCTGCAGAGACCCCCTGCGATCTGGGGCGGGGAACAGTGGACGGGCAAGTGTATATTTTTATTTCTGAAAGTGACTGGTGATCTTTGTAGAAAAATCCGAGGACACAGAGACTATCTTTTTAAGAAGAGAAAAAAAGGAAAAGAAAGGAAAAGGCCCGTCGTCCCCCAGCCAGAGATAAACAGGCCAGCACGTGGGTGTCTGCTCTTGCATGTCGCAGAGACACGAGACACAGACAGCCTCTCCCTGTGTCTTCTTGCATGGAACATTATTTCATATGCACGTCCCATGTCATTAGAAATTCCCTCTAAACTTCGCTTTGAATGACTGCAAAATGCCCCCACTCAAGGAACCCTCATCTTTTGTTTCTCCCTCCCCTCTCTCTCTCTCAGGCATGGCTGTGGCTGCTTATTTCTTATTGGTGTGTGCAGCCAGGCGAGGGCTGGAGAAGGACTAGATTGGGGAGCTGCAGACGTTTCATTTGTAGACACAACTGTTATTTCCAGAACTCGGTTCTATTTTTAGATAGACATTTGGCTCCAAAGTCTCCATTCAAAATTCCTGCGAGGGGAAAAAAACTTTTAAAATAATAATTTTTTTTTGCCATTTAAAATAAAACGAAAATGACCTTCTCTTTTTAATAATCTTTGCCTACATTTCTGCTTATTTCCTTAGAATCGATTCCAAGAAGTGGTGAGTGATTTCACGGCATCAGAGGGCTGGGCCCGCGCCCGAGACGTTGGTCTTGAGTCATGGGTGTGAGGCTGCGTCAGGATGAGGAGGCTTCTATCAGGATGGAAGATCTCCTAAACCCTTTGACTTCACTGGTTTTTCACCAGGGACTAGTGAGATTGAATTTTTTCTCCATTTATTAGCTGTCCTAATAGAATCCAACTATGCAACATGAATTATTGCTTTGGTTTCTTTTATACTTTCCTATGAATGCTTTTGTGCCTCGAAAAAAGTCACTCTCGGGCCTCCCTGGTGGCGCAAGGGGGTGTTAAGCATGAGTTCAAATTCGATCCCCCACCAGCCAGGGAGCTACCCACATGGCGCAGCAGACCTCTCCTGTCTCCCCCGCTGCTCCCCTCAGCAGTGTATTTCGGTCAGTCTGCCTGTTCTGCTCCCTGCTCTGTCTCTGGTGAATCCTTGCACCTCTGGCCTGTGCCCCAGTTCTTGTATGCATAAATAAATAAATCTTAAAAAAAAAAAGTCACTCTCTGTTACTACTTTCCACGGCCTGTTTGTGGCCATCAGTTTCCCAGCTCACCAGCCCTTACATTTCGCTTTCTGACACTGAGCTGTTTTGCATTTTCAGTTCTACCTAACTCACGTTCGTGATTGTTCCTATCATGTTTCAGACGGGTTTCCCCATAGAAAGGGCAGATGAAATGTTGCCTTTCATAAGCGGTGTGCTCTCTGCTTTCCACATTTCATTCTTGGAGCCAACTGGGGGTTGACTTGTTGGTAGGCTGACTTAAAGGGCTTTCCTTAAAGGGCACCCCAATTTTCACAGCACCTTCCCTAAGTAAGAGCCTCTTGACCTCCATTACAATCTGAAGCCTTCATGCTGTATGAGTTTGGGGGGGAAGTGTGATCCCCCCAAGTCAAACTTTACCTTTTCTCCTCTGCCTCGAACCCCCAGTTAGAGGCCTGAACTCCCCGAGGGCAGGAGAGGCCCCCCAGCACTTGTGTCCCCAGGGCTACTGAGGGTGGTCACCGAGGGAGGCTGCCGGTGACCTCCTAGCAACTCTGCAGCAGGCAGGCAGTTTCCACACCCCCACTTCACAGGTGGGGGATGGAACCCGGGGAGGCACTGATAGCTCATATACTCTCTACATGGTGCTGCTTGTTGATCCAGTGATAAGTGAAAACTCTAACACCCAAAATAGGAGAAAACCCAGCCAGGCTGCCAGGGCCACACCAAGGACCCCAAGGGCTTCTGAGATAGGAGGTGGAGGAGATTGGAGGGTGAGTCAACTGGGGTGTTAACTCAAACTGGGAAAAGGGGCGAAATTCTTCCTGAGCCAGCCCTTAAAGTCAGGGATGGAAATACAAACCACATTTGCCCCTGGGGTTCTGGGTCATGGCAAATCTGGGCCCTCATTCTCAGACCAGCGGCACTGGCCACAATTTCTGGAAACAGAAAGTGCAGAAGGTCCAGGAACATGTCAGGCTGTGGCCTCGGCTCCTCGCCCACCCCTCTGAGAACCTCCTCCCTTCCCTGGCCCTGATGTCATTTCTCTCCTGGACACTCCCCTCTAACCCTGGTTCTTGGCCTCCTGGTGCTGCTGGGTGCCATGCTGAGGGGGAATCGAGGTAACCGCCCAGAGTTGAGCGGCCAGGAGTCAGCAAGGAGGGCACAGCAGGGAAGCCCTGATGCCCCGTGGGACTACAAAGCACCCATTGTTTCTTAAGTCACTTCCTTTGGGTCTCTGCTAAAAAGCCATCTTCTTGGGGGCCCCTCCCTGGCCACTTATCTAAAGTAGGTGTTTTTAATTTTTGCATTGTGGGTCCCTCTTCAAATTGAGCAGCCCGTGAACTGGGATAGGAAAAAAAGTGACAATCGCATTGCCCCTAACCTCTAGATGAAATTTAGCATATCTTTCAAGTGTGAACGTGGGCAAGAAACCACAGAGGCATTTTAGCAGTCCCTGTGACCTTGTCACCAACAGACGTCACGTATCACATTACAGACCTTGCAGAGTTCTCTAAATATCCTTAATGCCCGTCACTACTTCAAAATCACGGTCATCATCAGACCCATCACTCGATCTTATTACTGAACACATTAAGAGACCACAGTAAAAATAAAACGTTTTGCTATGTTTTAAGCTCATTCGTTTCATTGCAATCCTTTGTTTATTTAGTCTTCAAAAACATCCTCTTGAGAAAAGCATATGGGCTTTTGCAGATTGTCAAAGGCATCCATTGGGGAAAAAAAGGTTAAGAAGCTCAGTCAGAAGCATCAGAGGCTCTCCTGCCCCACCCCCACTCTACCTGCCTGTATGCTAATGACTCCTAATTATCTACTTGTTTATTTTGTCTCTTTCTACTAGATTATAAGCTCTCTGGGCCTTTTTTTTTTTTTAAATTTTTTGTCTTGTTCACTGTTGTACCTCCAGTCCCAGGGACAGCATCTGGCATAGAGTAGGTGAGATTACTGCTACCATTTTTCTGGTGAGTTGGGATAGTGAGTTGCCCAGGTAGGACCCAGAAAGGTCAGAATGTGCTAGAGCCTGCCTCTCCACATGGATACTGAGGCCCTGCTCCTGGGGAGAGAGACACCCCCAACTCCCCATGCAGCAAATCACAGGCCATCCCTGAAGTCTCCAGCCCTCCTCAATGTCTCTGCCTGGTTTTCAGTCTGGCAGGCCCCCCCTCCCAGAGATGGGGAGGGAGGGAGAGAAGGGAAGGCTGGGACGTGGGAGGGGCAGGAGTCCGGTACCACGGGAAGCAGGGACCTGTGACCCCAGGGGTGGAAAAAAGCTGTCCCCCTGGGCACAACCCCATCTATGCTTTCTCTTCTCCAGTTAGAGCAGGAAGTCCATAGCTCTGTGCAGGAAGCCAGGCAAACCTGCAATGGGCCAGGAGTCAGGAATTGCAAATCAAGGCACTTGAGGGCTGGCTCTGGTTGGAGGAGAAGTCCTAATCTGGGAAATTAGGTTCCCTTAGGGCTCTCAGTGGCCCCAGACAGCCCCACAGGACCCAAGGCCCTGGACCCATCAGCTCACATAGCCCAGCTCAACAGTGTGGCATTGGGCAAGTCCCTGCTCCTCTCAGCCCTGGGTCCTAAGTGCTAAGTCCCACCCCTAGGTGCTACACAGGCTGAGGAGGCCTCTGGGTTCTTAACACTAGCCAAGAAGCCATCTATCTCCTCCCCGATCAGGAACCCCCCCCTTTGCTCCCCAGCCTGCATCTATACATCTCCCTTACCCCAAACCTCTCCCCACATACTAGTTTTCTTTGAACCCAGAACATGGCAGGTAGGAACCATGCTCTTTTCATGTTCACCTAGGCCAGAGGCCCCTGCTGGAGGGCATCGTGGCGATTTGTGGTGTGGGGTCCTCAAGGGGGGACAGGTGGGAAGGGGGGGAAGCAAATTCCAGACATGGACAGGACAGCAAAATCTCTGGGCCAAGACTCTAACTCAATTTTACAGAAAACAAGGAACATTCAACAGCTATTGCGTTTTCTAGGAGAGGAGGGAGCGGAGACAGGTTTTTTTTTTTAATGCGTTCAGAACTTAGCCACTAACTCTGCAGACTTCAGAAAATCATGTCATTCACAGCAAAGCCGAGTTCAGGCATGAGGCACAAACCCCTCCCCTGTGCAGCTACACTGGCCACCGTGGGACTCCCGCAGACAGGTGCAAGCTCCCCAGTGTCGCCTCGCCCCAGTGCGGCCGAATTCAGACAGATGCTGCACTGTGCACCGCTTCCCCTCCCCCCACCCCATGATAGCGCTGGAATTATATCAAGCTTGAAACTGTATGAAACCGGTAGGATGGAAAATGGCACGTTACAAAATTTCTGTTATTGGAAGGGGGTGCTGCGTCTGGCAGGAGGGTGGGGGCACCTTAGCCCTGACCATGTGGGAGACACACCAAGATTTGCTTTCCTTTCCTTCCTCTGCTTGGTTCACACCTTCTGGCTTACCAGAACTTTATGGTGGCGGTGCCCGCGTGTCTTTCTCGGAAAACTTTCTCCCCGAAATTAAGACAGAATCAAGGAATAAAAAGCAAGGAAAGTAGCAGAAGTTTCCATCTGACTTAGTCTTGGCAGCAGTCAGGGAGCCAGGGAAAGGCTCTGGGTCCCAAACCCCAACCTGTCCGACTTCTAAAGTGGCTCAAACTGTACATGTCAATCACAGATGTGTTCTCCGCGATGGGAATTCCCAGTCCTGGGATGGGCACAGCAAGACACGCAGCCGCCTGCCCCAGGACCCCTGCGCCCTCCTTCCCCGCGGCTGGGCCGCCTCCACTTCTCCCACTCAACAATTCAAACCTCCTGGGTTTCCCCCACCCCCGCCCAAACCACACCATAATCAGAGAATCAGTGACTGTCACCACTCAAAGGGACTTCAGAGACATCCTCCGGTCCCCCGGTCCCGGACATTTGAAGTAACAGAATCTCTAACAAGTATCAGCTCTCAAGAGGGTACGCTTGTATCCATTTCCTTCATCTTCACAAAACCCTGTGAAGCGGGAACCATTAGGATCCCCACTTTAGAGATGAGGGAACTGAGGCACAGTGCAGCTGAGCAATGTGCCCAGTGTCCCCAGCAAGCCCCCAGCAGAGCCAGACTGAAATCCAGGAGGGCTGGTTGTAGGACCCAGGCTGCTGAAGACTGTGAACTCCTAGATGAGTTCCACAGGGACACAACTTGGCACAACTCACGCTCAGGCCTCCTCCTGCCTCCCAGGACGACTGAGACCAGTGAAGGAATGGGGACCGGTAAAGGAATGGCTTTTAGGCTCAGCCTCCTGCACCCTCAGCCCCCTGCATCTCACGGAGGAGCCATAAATCCAGCCTCAGGGGTGCCCTCTCCAACAGCATGCTGCTAAGCGACCCTTGGAACCCATCTACCTCCCTGCAGGCACCGGTGGGGTGGCCACAGGTCTGCGGGCATGAATGCCACAAAGAAATCATTTTCAACAGCAGAATGACAAGGTCTCAGTAACTCAACAGGAGGAGGGAGCCGCAGATGGGCTTCCAGGACTGACCCCTTCTTCACCTGCTTCACAAGGGGATGCAGCTCAAGCGGGTCTTCAGGGTTCCCACATCTACCTGGGGAAGCACTTTCCGGGCGCCGTCCCCCCTCTGAGGGGCTGCCACCCCAGCCACCACCGACCAGTGGCCGGTGACCCTGCATTCTGAGCTAGGGCTGGGATTAAGTTGCAAAAGGCTTGAGAGATTGGGGATGACAAAAGGGCTTGGAGACTAATTAGGAGCAGCAATGAAAGCTTAATTCATAAAAGCAAACATTTTCCATCCATCAACCTGCAACCAGTTAAGGGCAACGTTTGAAAGAAATCTGTGCATGGGGAAGGGAGCCAACAGGAACAGGAAATGTTTGAAAGAATGTAAACTATTTCGGTTTCATAAAAAGTAACAAGTAAACAGTTATTACATGCAAATAATGCCCTGGTTTTAATTAATGCTGAAAAGTCAAAATATGTTTGACATTTGTATGTATACATTGAATGGTTGGAGAGGGAAAAAATGGTGCCCAGATGCCCGTTTCTGAGCGGGGCTGGCGGCTTAGAGAGAACTAAAACCTTGGGTCTTGTTTATTGGTGATGAAAAGTGCAATTCTGCCTCAGCCCCTGCAGAGACCAGGGGCAGCGGAACCTGGCTGACTCCCTACACAAAGCTGGAGGGGCAAGCCGGGTGCCTGGAAGGGCACTCCCCACTTTTCAGAAGGCTCTTCTTAAAGGGCCAGTGAGCTCTCCAGGCTCCATTTCGCCGAGGGAGGGTTTCGAGAACTTCTCCACCCAGAAGTGATGGTGGGAGTCAGGTCCTCCCTTCCTTCACACAGCCCAGGTGGATCAGACTGGTGGGATACCTGGCCCTGGTTCTGGGGCGGGAGACAGCAGCCTCAGGCGATGCTTTCCAATATTCAGCATCCTGCCCTGCACTGTTTCTTTTCTAAACTACCTTGAGGCACAAAGGGCTGGGGAAACTGTGGCTTCTGGAGACCACAGCTGGGGAGAGGTAGCCTCAAAGCTTGGGGCGGGGGAGGGAGCTTCTGCCCCAGTTGGGAGAGTGGCCGGGGTGCTTCGGCACCCCGCAGGCCAAGGATCTGTCCTCTAATCTCAGCGGCCCAAAGACCTCCAAGGCCCCTTTTTGGGTCTGTCAATCCACGATCTTCTGCCAGCATCTTTTGTGAGACCAGGTACTTGCTTACCCGGGAAAGACAGATGGCACACAAGACTCCAGGAATTAGTAAACCTCAGAAACTGGGAGAAAACTGTCTTTTACTGGCAAGAGACTCTCACTTTCCTCACACCTTAAAAGCGGTCTGTAACACCCTAAGGGATTACAACCACTGTTTTACACTGAGCTGGGCCTGAGGATCTGTTTCTGGAGCCCCCAGTTTCTGGACCCCAGGGCGGCTCCCCCAGCTTGCTTCCCCCCCACCTTCGCCACCATCAGTGCGGGGCTGGCGCAGTCCCTCGGCCGCTCACCTCGCCCGCTGCGGCCCACAAAGCGAAGGTCGTTGAACCTGGCCACCTGGTTCTTCATGACGGCCGAGGCGTTGCGCAGCTCGGCGGAGTAGTTCTCGTCATTGCCGGCCATCACAGTCACCACCGTTCCGTCCGGCACGTCCCCCATCGCCACCACCTGAGGGCACCGGCAGGCAGACCGCTTAGAAAGGTAGGGGGAGGCTGGGGGGAGGAGGGGAGGGGCAGGGCTGGGCAGCTCCCCTAGGTCCTAGGCGCACTGCGGATTTCTCAAAGGCATCTCTAATGCTGGGTGGAGAAGAGGCTTCAAAGCAATAGAGACCTTCTCCCAAAGAGAACAAAAACAAGAAGACCAATTTGTACCTTCCGCACCCAGATCCTAGGTCAACTGTTTAAGCTCGATCTAGAGGAATTACCCTTTTGATTTCATTAACTCTAAGGACGAGCTGTGACTTGGTCCAGCACGGTGATGTGGGGTACAGTTCCCCTCTCCCCTTCCGTTTGCTTAAAAGAGGAATCAACATGCTCCTAGCAACCAAGTGGCTAAGTGAAAATAACAACAATAATAATAACGGGACTGATTCACACACAATGAACTCCAGAGGCGTGCAGGGTACGAAATTTGGCCCTGGAAGGTAGCACAGGCTCAGCCTGTCCCCCTCGGCAGAGTCTGAATTCGTTATGCAGCGAAAATGCAAAATGCAAAACAAACTGGTGTTTTGAGAAGGGTTGTACAGAAAGCTCCTTTAAAGTGAAGGGGGACATTTAGGAGGAGGATGCACCTGCTGGGAATTGCAGGAGGGCTCGGGTGGAGGGTCCCCCCACCCAACCGGCCTACCCCACCCCCCACTCCAAGGAGCTCGGAGAGGCAGATGCCTTTTGAAAAGGAATCAGACTGCAAACGCAGTCACAGCCATTTAAACGTGGCCACCGCGTGCAGGGACTGGGGATCCAGATGGTAAAAATTTCAAGGAGAAAATGTTTGGGGTCTGATTAAAAAGGCCAGATTTCCTGTCAACATGCTGTCTTCTTTTAATTTCAAAGATTCCTTTTAAGCTCCAAGTGACAGTAAAACCTCCGATCTCAGGATTAAAGTCACACGGGCCTCCCCCCAGCTCCAACCCGGGAGATTTTCCCCACTGGTATTTTAAGATGTCACCCGGGAGACCTCAAAGAGCCACTCATCCTTTTTTTTTTTTCCAATTTGGAGCCGTCTTAATGGGAGCAAGGACGGCCTCAGCTGCCAGGAGCTGCTCTTTCCAGTCACCTCGGGCAGAGCCACCCCCGGCCGCCGGCCCTTCCTGCCCTGCCCTTTCTCACGGCAGCTGTGAGAGGTTTAGGGGAAAACCAAGACTTTTTCGTTTCATCTCGCTGCCCCCTTAAAAAAATGAAAATGAAACAGTCGCCTACTCCCTGGCAAAGAGAAAAAGATCCTCGGAACGACTGGGGTCTACCAGGGGTGGGGGCGCCCCCAATCCGCCTGAGATTCTGGATCCCTGCGGCAGCCGCTTAGGGTGCAGTGCCCCCAACCCGGCCCAGAGCCGCCGGGTGTAAAATTTCAGAAGCCAGAGGTTGAGGGTGTGAGCAGGAAGTGCTTCTGAAGCGGTGCCGGGGAGGGGTGCCGCCGCGGAGCTAGGCCCCGCTCCCCCTCTCCACCCACCTCCGCTCCTCGCCCGGCCGGCGAGCCTCTCCCCGGGGCCCGCAGGGCTGTGTCTGGGGGATCCGGGCTGGAGGGCGGCAGAGCCCCCACTGCCCGTTTCCGAACCACAGCCTCATCGCAGGGCTCCCCGAAGATGGAGAGGGTGACCCCCCCTGAAAGTCATCTGCGCGGGGTGCACCCCAAAAAGGGGCCACAGAAGCCCCCGGGCGGTGCAGGCGGTGCGCGCCGGGAGACCGAAAGCGCCCTCGGTGGGGCAGCCGGGCTCCGGCCGCCGGGGGTTCCTCCTTCCCCTCCCCCGAGCCGGCTCCTGCAGCCGGGACTCGCGGCGCCCCGGGGCCCGCGCCCGCCCGCCGGGGCCCTGCACTCACCTTGAAGGCGACGGGCAGCGTCTTGTTGCAGCGCCAGTGCGAGGGCAGCACGGAGCAGAGGAAGTTGGGGCTGTCGGTGCGCACGAGCTCGCCCGCGTGGTCCGCCAGCACGTCCACCATTGAGCGCACCTCGGGCCGGGCGCGCCCGCCGGGCCCCACGGCCGCCTGCGCGCTCAGCGCGCCGCTGTTCTCGCCCATCTTGGCGCCGCCGCCGCAGGGGAAGGCCGTGGAGGGAGGTGTGAAGCGGCGGCTGGTGCTCGGGTCTACGGGAATACGCATAACAGCGGCCGTCAGGGCGCCGGGCGGGCGGCGGCGCGCGGCTCCCCGGGGGCGGCCGGCGCGCGCGCCTCCTCGGCCGCCGCTGCCGCGAGAAGCGGGAAAGCAGAAGCGGCGGGGCCGCGGCCTCAGGGCGCAGGGGGCGGCGCCCGGGGACGCCCCGCCGGGGCCCGCCCGCTGGGGGGCCTGGCCGCCCCGACGGCCGCGCGCAACCTGCCGGCTAGCCCCGCATCCCGGGCGCGCGGCCCGCGCACGGCCGCCCCGGCGTCCCGCTGCCCGGTGCGCGGCGGGGCCCGCGCGGGCTGTGCCGCCCGGCGCCTCCCGCGCCCGCCCCCGCTCGCGGCCGCCACACGGGCTCCGCGGTCGCCGCCCCGGAGCAAATCCTCGAGAATCAAGTGGCGGCGCCGCGGCCGCCCGCGCGGGGTTAGTACCCCGGGGCCCGCGAGGGCGGGGCCGGCCGAGCGACGCGTCGCGCAGCCAATCGGAGCCCCCATCGCCGCCACCTCTCGGGGGAGGATCGGGGACCGCGCGGGCCGCCCAACGGGGAGGGGCGGGAGGCCCCGCCCCGCCGAGGGCGCCCCGGGTCCGGGGCCCCGCGCGAGGGTCTCGGGCTCCTCGGGAGTTCTGGGGAGCCGGGGGCCGATGCTCAAATTTTGCCTAAGACAGCCGGGCCCTGCGGAAGGCGCCTGTGCCGCGCTCTCGGGGGTCGCGTCTCCCCGACGCGGGGGCTGCCGCGTCCCTCCTCTGGCTTTTCCCGCCACCCGCGGGCGAGCCTCCCCGGCTCCCGCTGCTTTCTGCCGCCGGTGCCTGCACCCCTCGCTGGGGCCCGTAAGCGCCCAGGCCGGTGACAGTAAGCAGGGGCGGCCCCACACAGACGCCTCACTCCACCGCCTCACAAATTATTTTGACCCAAGAGCTTCCACCGCGCGCGAAATGACGCGCGCGCCGTCTGGCCCGGACCCGATCCGCGCGCCAGCGGCCTCTGCAACTCCCAGCCTTGCGGGGTTTGGATCCCAGCCTCCGCGGCCCCGGTGCCAAGGTGGGAACAGAGGGAAGGGTGCCTTCCCGGGCACCCATCGGGCGCAGGGCGACTAACTCCCCTCCTCCCGGGTCTCCCCTCCAAACAACTTTCAGGATCGCGCAGGCCTCACAGCAGCCTTCCTCGTTGTGGTGACCTGTGGCTCTTTGAAAAACACGGTGGGGCCTGGAAATCGGGACTGTGTTTTGCGCTGGCTGTTTTCCTCCGCGCGCGTAACCACGGTTCTGCATCGTGGACGAGGACGCGCGTTGACGGTGAGAAGAAAACCGTGCGGAGAACGGAGAACGCGGGATGGCAGCTGGGAAGATAAGGGCCGGGTTTCCAAAAGAGGATTTTCTGCCTCCCCGCGGGTGCACACCGGTCCCCACAGGCCCAGCCTGCGTCTTCCCCGTCGCCGGGACGCAGGCGGCGCTGCCAAGGCGCTGTCTGCCCGCGGCCTCGGGTCCTGGCGCCCACTCCGGGCCGCGTGGCCCAACCAGTGCAGGACTTCACCGCAGACAAGTCCTTCCCCGCGCGCCTGCTAGGCCCGGAGAGGGCCTGGAGACCGGCTGCCGCGGGGAGGGGAGCTGGAAAGAGCAAAGCCCGGTTCTCTCTAGACGCGCCGGCCCAGACACACGCCCCGGGCTCTCGGGAACGAACGCGTGTGGAGTCTCCCCGCCGTTTTGGAGAGTGGGTCGGACTTTCGTTGCTCTCGGGGGCGACAGGTGCAAAACGACGACGCCCAAGCCTCGGGAGCAAAGCAGCACAGGATTCGACGGTGGCCGCAAGATTGCGCCCTGGATCTGACCCCTGCCCAGTGCGAGCCACTTCGTCGTCGTCGTCAAACGAAATCGAGCCCCGCGTGCGCCCTAGGGCAGACGCGCCCTGGCCCAACCTCCAGCAGCAGGAGCGCTCTCCCTACCCTTCAGGAGCCTCTCGTCAGTCCTTCTGGCCATTTCGAAGGCAGGATGTCCAGTGCCCTTTACTAGACCATGTTAGAGCGCCTACACCTCGGAGTTGCAGACCCCCCGCCCGGGCGAGCGCTCTCCGAAGGGCTGGCACCACCAGCAGAACCAGAGGAAAGCGCGGGACCCAGGCCTCGGAGTGGCCGACCCCGGGGACCTTCCCGCGGATAGGCCCAGCGGTGGCCAGGTAGGGCCCGGGAGGGCGGGCATCGCGGGCTGAGCTGGACGGCTGTGGGGCCCGGACCCGCTGGTCTGGGGGTTGTAAATTCGATTCGGGGAATGGTTTCGATTTGCGCGGTTGCCCTTACTAGTCCCTCCGCCTGATTTCTCGCTCTCCCCCTGCGGTGGGTTTACAAACGGGCTTCCTGAGAACGGGGCTCCCGTGGGGCTCCGAACCCGGCACCGAACCCGTTGCGGCTGCAGCGCCGGGGAGGGCGCGCGCTGCAGGAGGGCGCCGGGCCGCGGCCGCTGCGTGGGTGGCTCGTGGCCCCCAGTCCCAGGTCGCCCGGCCGCCGGGGCAGGCGCAGTTCCGGGATCCACCGCTAGTTGGCGCCTGCACCCTTCCAGCTGCGCCGCCGCCGGCCGGGCCCCGCGCACAGATGTGCGCCAGCTGCGGCCCCCTGTCCCAGCCGCGGGCCACCTCGTCTGCGCGGCCCTTTCTGAAAAGACTGGCAGTCCGAGTCTTCACCATCTGTGCGCCCACGTCTCGGACAAACCAATGGACAGAGGCTGCCCTAACCTGTCAGGACAGAGGCTGCCCTAACCACCCCTGATGGACGCGTAAATTTTCTGATTTTGCCTCTCTGGCCCCTGAGGGGTCCCTGCGTCCTCAGATCCTCAGAATGTGCTCCCTGGCAGAAACGTAGCCCTTTTCTTTCCCGTTTGGGAGGAGGGGGTAGGGGTAAGAAGGCCACACAGAAAAAACAGCTGGGTCCCAGTTTCGACCTGCCATGAACCTACTTCCCCTCAGACTGACAGACCTAGGGGCACATCTCCCTCCCTCCCCACCCCTCTTTCTCAGCTGGATAGTTCCCACTCCCCTCCCTGGGAAAATCGGATTCCCTACCCTTCCCTAACTGGTGTGGACAGGTATCTTCTCTTGCTCTTCCAACCCACTCATGTACAAATTTCTAATGACCCCCGCCTAAGAGCACCCTAAGTTATCCACAGCAGGGTGATGAAGCCAGAAGGTCTGGGCCAACCATGAAACCAATATGGGGTCCCCAGAGCCTGATTCTGGGGCCGTTGCTGCATCCTCCCCTGTGAGGGGAGTTCAGGGGGTCAGAGCCACCCTATGTTGGGGTGCCTCTTCCTGATGCCCAAGGGAGTTTAGGGGTGAACTCTGAGTGTGTTCCTGGGAGTGAGGTGCCCTGAAAGTGTCCCTCCACTGGTCAGAGTGCTTCCAAGGGTGGGTCTGGTTCCTAGGGATTCCTGGTATTGGGTGGGGGTGGTGGTCCCCAAGTGTGCCAGACAATGGACATAGATGCTCTGGAAAACCTTCCAAGAACTCCATTGGCTGTGGAAGGAGTCTGGGTCTGCAGTTTCACTGCCTGTTTGTCTTCTGCCACCTATCGTGATCAGGGGAAATTGTCCAACATCTCTCTGAGCCTCATCTGTTTCCTCTGTAAAGTGGGGACAGTAATCCTCATAGAATCGCATGTGAAGTGGTGACACAGGCCTGGCACATAGGAGGTGCTGTCACTCTTGTGATATTGAAAAAAATAAGGTTGGATCACCCCTTGTTGGGGACCTTGAGCAAGTCCCACCCTTCCCATTTGTGAAATACGCAATCTTATGCTCAAAGCTTGCCAGGACAGGACCTAGGCCGGGGCTATCCCACCCCCCTTGGTTCTCTAGGGCTGCTTGGGGGAGGGGAGTGCCATCTGTGACCTGCCTCCAGGCTAAGGCAGCTTGCAGGAGCTTTCAGCAATCATGGAAGGGCTGCCTGAACCCCAATTGCCACTTGCCTTCCCCGAGGCTCTCAGGCCCTCACTCTGGAGACCCCTCACCCTCCAGGCAGACACTTTGCTGGGTAGAAACTGGCCTCAGCAGACACTCCCAGGAGTTACCTATTCCCTTTTCCCAAGTCTCAGGGGAGCTTCAATCCAGCACCCCACAAAGGACCCCCTTGCAGAAGCTAATGACTTCTCCCAGTTGGCCTCCAAGGCCCGTTCAGGAGAAACCAGTATCCTGCTTCATGCCCTGGAACTCAAGGGGGGGGTGCATTCAGGTCCCTCACTCAGCCTCAGTTTCCTCTTCATGCATGGAGGGCCTTCTACTCACCCCACAGCCCTAAGAATTAGACTCCATCTCGGAGGGGCGGGGCACTGTGCTTCAGGGAATCTAGAAGCCATCAATTGTTCCATGTAAAAAAGTGCTGCCAATGAAACCAGGACTTGCCTATGTCCCAGTTTCAGGTATCTGTGTGCACAGATATACAATATAAAATTACAAATCATATACACGTTTTGTGCACTACACCTGTAACATACGTATTATGTTATATGTAACATACACTTGTATGTGTACACATGACTGGTGGGAAGTGGAGTGAAAAACAGTGATGCAGTCAGGGCTTGGCACCTGCAGGATTGGGGGAGCACTCTGGGGCATCCCTCCTGGAAGCCTCTCAGGAAGGCTCCTGACTGAGCTAGAGGACAAGTGAGCTTCTCAAATTACAGGGAACATTTTTTGCTTGTTTGTTTTGTTGTGGAAAGGGCCAGACTCCCAGGGAAAAGAGGAGGGAGCTGGGGAGAGCACCGAAGTGAAGACACAGCCACTGGCTCTGCCATTGACCGGCTGTGTCATTTCTGCCTAGGGTCTGCACCTCTCTGAGCCCCGGCCCCCTGGTTGGTAAATTGGGAAGGATGGGCAGTGCCCAGCTGCTCAGGCTTTGCTGGATCCAGGCAATGTGATATTAAATGGGCTGTGCCCATTTAAATGAAGAGGCACCGCCTGGCTACTGGTTGTGCACAGCCCTCCCTTCCCACTGAATGAAAGCAAC